ACCATTTTGGTTCCCAGCCAGTCCTTTTTTTAAAATATAGGGTATTTTCTTTCTTTCTTTTTTTTTTTTTTTTTTGGTGGTGTTTTCTTGTGTCTGTTTGCATTGGGTATTTTTCAGATAGTGTCTCATGAATTCTTTGGGGTGGCTTCAAACCTGGATCCTCCTGATCTCTGCCTCCAGAGAAACTAGGATTATAGGCATGAGCCAGCAGTGCCAGGCCTGCTGTTGAGTTCTTCCATTTTCCAAATTGACATCTTGGCACTGTATTTAAGTAGCAGCAATCATGCAGATCATCTGGAAGTAAAATATCTTTTTATCTTCATTGAACAAACTCTTAACCAAATTCTGTTCCTGCCCTTCTTTTCTCTTTTCTCCTTGAAGGTTACCTTTATTTTCTGCAGTCTTATTTCTCTGTGATCTGATGTCTCACTCTGGTTTCTTACCCTTTATCTCCCCTAAGCTTTTCCAATTCTCCTCCCAGGGATGACTGTTGAAATGTATATCTGCTCAGTTTGCTTACCTGTTCTCACATGACCTCATGTTTTCCACCTGGTGTTTGGGAAATAGCAGAGATTCCTGGAGTGAACACCAGCAATCCTTTGGAGGTAGGAAGGAAATACTGTGATGCCTATGGGCATCCTTTTAGTTTATAAGTCATTCAAAAAGAATACATGCATAAAATTTCTTGTTGGAGATTGTTTACACATATAAAATTAATAATCTGTGTCTTCATTATTGTGTTTATCTCTCATCATGGTCCAGTTTCATTCATCTGAACATGGTACCATCTGTAGTTTCATTAATGTGGTGGGTGTTGTTTGTGTGCGGACTTCTACTGTAGCCTCATGTCCATGTGAAGCATACAGTCATCATGCAAAATAGAAGTATATGTTCTCCTTCCTTGCTTCATTTACATTGAAGCTGCAAATCAATTCCTCTAACAGATTGTGGGTTTTTATTCATATTTAATGGCTTCTTTATATCACATCTTAAGTTCCTTGAAGGAGTGTCGTGAGCGCCAATGATTTGTTTGAATATGGAGAGACAGTACTCAGGAGACTCATTTCAGACAGCAGGTTTTTTTATTCAAACACCTTCACAAGGCACTTTCCTATGGATCCTAAGGCCCGTCTCTGTTACCCTAGCCGACCAGTTTACTCAGACCTTCCCCCAGGTCTCCGTCAGCTTGCAATGCTTTCTCAGCTGATGAGGGGGGCGTAGCTGTGCCCCGGGGGATCCTCACAGCCCCTTTCAGTGCAGGTCCAGTTTTGTGGTTTGCCAGCGACACCCAGTGGATGTGGGGAGAAAGGGGCATGCTCACAAGCAGTGGCTGCCTCTACATCTGAGTCTCCGGACAGATTCTTGATAGCGCAGTCTCCAGTGGGTGGGGAGGCGAATGAGGTTTTTGGGTTCCGGCCTGAGTTTATATACCTGGTGGTGACCTCACCACCTCTGTTATCAGCACTGCCACCTTTGGTTTAGCTTGTTTGCCTATCGGCCGTCACCTTAAGTTTGGCTTATTGGCATATTGGTCACCACCTTAGGTTTGGCTTATTAGCATATCAGCCTGTCATTCTCTGGCTGATTTCTAAGTCCTAGCACACACTAGCTAATAATTCTTATTTCAACAGTTTTTCATACTGTAACACAGTACAGTCCATGAATACAACAGCAATCTTATATGTGTTCGCCACAGTCCACCCCCCAAGTCCTTGAGGTCCTAGTCTTCAGCATAGGGCCTCTGGACGAGTTCCATGGTACACTGGAAGAGTCAATTAGCATCATGAATGGGGAACAATTCCCCTTTTGTGTCATGTGAAAGCTGCAATAAAAAGCCTTTTTCCAACCAATTGTATGCCAATGTCCTGTATAGCATGCTGCATAGCATTCATTCATCCAGTAGTGACACGTGCCCAATCTGTCTTACATGTGGAAATGGACAAGTGTCACCATTGGGCAGAAGTGGGAAACAATGAAGAAGGTGAGAAATCCTGTAGTTGGTGGATGTGGGTGAATCTCCTCTGCAGCCCATTTTTGTAAGTATGTCCATACAGTCCATTGTGTTGATGGGGGAATGATATCAGTGCCACCCCCTGGTCTGCAAGCTGGTGCTGTGTCTTTTGCCAAGTTGGACCGACGTCCAGGTTTCCACTGTAGTATTATGTCATCCTCGAAGTCCACAGCCTTCAGTTGTTTGTTAATGATTCTTACACTAGTGCCTGCTCTTACATCTGATCGGGTTTGTGGAGGTCCAGCGTTGAGTCTGAAGATTGCCTCATGTCCGTCGATGAAAGTTCTAAGTGTTGAGTAGCGTAGGGTACCCGCATTGGAAATGATGATACACGTTGAAGGTAAGTTAAAGGTGGGTCCTAGTTCCACTGGATCAATGGGCTGTCCATCTTGACCACATATGATGGGTGGTTGGAGAGGGTTTCTTCTGGTTCTTGAGATGTTGAAGGTGTTAGTTGTCCAGAAGGAGTTGATGGTGTCTCTTGTGTGATTATTAGCTGTGTATCTATAGGGTGTGGGACATGGGCCTGACTATTTGTGTTTGTTTTGGTGTGTGTGGGATTACATAAGTAGTGAATGGAATATACTGTAAGCATGATGGTAAAAAGTGTGATAGTCCTGTGTGTCTTCTGGTATATAAGCCTGACAAATATCCCCATGTTAATCCTACTAGATAGAAGAAAAATAGAGGGAAGAAGAATTCGTTCAGCATTACTTACCAGAGCTTATGAAATCTGTATCTATTAATAGAAAAGTGCCTTAGGAATAAGAATAGGGGGAGTGTATATGTGATAGAAAATGTTATGCCTAAGACTATAAGAGTTATTTCTGGTTTAAGCATTGAGTGTACTGTTTACTGGGTGCCTATGGCATTGTCCTACTGGATGTTCAGTCCTGCAATATGAACAAGAAATCCATCCTATATTTCTTTTGTAAAGGGTTTTTAACTCTACAGTTTTGTTTTTCCTATATGTGTCAAGGTATTCTTTCCAATTAAGGAATGCAAGGTATTGTTTAAGTGCATGTATCAAGATTGGTTTAAAAATTGCATGGATGGTAATGTCCTCCATTGATGGTTAGATGACTATGGGGTTATCCGTGGTTGGCTCAACAGAGTAATGTTTGGATTCTATTAATCACAAGAGTGTTTCAGGTTGATTATGGAGCATGTAGCCCCAAATTGAAGGATATGTGTACACTCGTTGTGAGAGGTGCATACTTATCCAGTATGTAAGGAGGATGCCTACCGCTTGGTAGCAATGCTTGCACCCCTAAGTGTTGTGAGGGTTTAGGTCATGTTTTAGGAATTCTTTGTATGTATCTTACTTTTGCCTGCCATTATATATTGCAAATCTAGCCTTTCAAAATCTACAATCATCAGTAGTACATAATCTTAACATCTTATTAATAATCTAATAAGCATCTGTATGCATTGCATATGTGTGGTGGAGGTGGTTCCAAGTCATTTCTTTAAAATAATTTCCTTCAGGGGTTTGGGGGTTCCATTTCCTCCTACTATTCATATATTTGTAATCAAGGGCATGGAAGCTGTGCATTGTTGTGGGCAATTAGTTTCCAAATTGCTGAATCAGCACTTATCTTTTGAAAGTGCCTGCAATACAGGGAAAGTAGTTTTATTGCTATAACCAGTATAACTATGAGCACTGCATAGTGCCATAAATCTCTTAACCACCTAAAGGGGTTCCAAGAGGTGATTGAAGAAATGTCAAATTTCACAAGTCTTATTAACACATCTCCTGCTGAGCAGTGAGAAGGTGTATATCTGTGGTGGACGAATGCCATTGTATCTGTCTCAGCCAAGTACACTGCCTTCTTTATTTCTACCAATTGTTTGTCCATGTGCTTAAATTCCTTATGGACTGCATCATCCATATTTGCAAATTGTTTTGCATTTGTATGTATGAAGTCCTTCATAATATCTAGTTGTCTATTGGCTTCTTTTGCCATTGCTGCTTTTCTTGCTAAAGTATCTGGAGCTGCTGCTTGTGAAAATGAGAAATAATGTCATGTAGATATTATTTTCCTATCACAAACATGTCTCAAATATGTAGTATTGTTGAAAATTGGATTTGGCTGATGTCTGAAGGTGACATTGATTTTATATGCATTTCTAGGATAATGCATCCTTCTAGTCTTTCTTGGGTTCTGTCAACGAAGGTATTATGGATTTTGTCCTGAGCCTCATTATCAATCATTGACATATTTCTTTACCAATACTGTATGGTGTGATTATCACCTGAGCATACTGAAAATATATTGTTCCCTAGAGAAGTGGCTGCATCTCTAAGGAGTGTTATTACTAAGTCTAATTCATGTATAGTATGCAACATGGGTTCTGGTATAATATATATGTTTTGTGTGATAGGTATTGCCCTGTTTCTCGGGTAAAAGTGTGTAGTATTAATTGATTTATCGTCCACTACTAAAAGTGTGGATTGTGGTATTACAAATTTATCTCCTAACTTTCTTGGGACTGTTGTGTAGTGGACTGAGACTGCATTGTCTAAGAAAATTTGTAAGAGATGTAGTTTGCAATATCCATCTACACAACTTGAGTGGTATCTGTCATCTAATATAGTTTTAAAATGTGTTGTTTCCCTTCCTTGGCCTGTTTGGAACAATATCCTAATTTCATCCATCATGGCATCTAAGGATTGTTGGGCCTTAGGTCATTCTATCTCATGTCCCTGCAGGACTCATTGTTTTTTAAGCCACTGAAATCTTCCTGCTGCTAATTTGTCAGATTGAAGCTGAGCATTCTTTTTTTTTTTTTTAAGTGTCTTATCTATCCTCATACCTCCCTTGTGTGAGCTGAGCAGACTTGATGGACTCTATTTCTAGTTGCAGGTGGTGTACTATTTATGTTAATTGACCGAGACTTCTTGATAAGGCCTCTATTGCCTCAACCTGGTGTTTTGTAACCTGTTTCAGGTCATCCAGGGCTATGAAAAGTGGTGCTGTTAAGGTTGTTGTTACCGCAGTTGCTACCACAGCTGCGATGACACCTGCCATAAAGGACTGTAAGGGCTTCCTTTTTGGTGGACTTAGTCCGTATGAAAAGGTAGGTAGCTTTAACCTTTACATTTCATCTCCTTAAGCACCATATTATTGAGATTTAGTGTAAGCGAAGATCTCTTATCCTGGGGTTAGGCAATGTTCTTAAAGAAGTGTAAGTCAATGGTAAAATCATTGGGGGTTCTCTCCAAATGATGTGCCTATGTGTATCAGAAATATTTTCTGATATCCTTGGTGCAAAGAGAACCTCTGGTTTATAATGTATGTAGTAAAATTTAAGTGTCTCATTCCAGCCTTCTCTATATAATATACATGGTGCATCTGAGAAGTCTTTTATCCAACATTTTTTAAATGAAACTTCAAAATGGTATATTGTGTCCCAGTCATATCCAGGCATAGAAACTGGTATTCCTTCTGTTGGCATTGCACTGGATATATCATTTTTCCATCTGGGTTTGTGGGCTACAAAGTCCACTGTGTGCCATCTTCCTTTCCATGGTAATAGGAAGGAGAATGCATACGAACACCAAAATGGTGTATTTTAATTAGTTCCTGCATGCTCATCCCTGCATTGGACCACCACCATAATGTATGGTTGTTGGCTCATGGTGCTTTATATATGGATTTAACATAAAATAAAGGTCTTGTGCAAGCAGACTTCTTGACTTGGTTAGAGGTTATCAAGCCATCTGAGGTGTAGTTAGGTGCCACATAACTACTGATCTCATAGTATGTAATGTTTGTCCAATTTGTCATAGCCATTTATAATTTAACTTTTGAGCATTAAGCATAGTAGTTTTAGTAGCTGGTGTTACTAAGTCTAGTGGGATAGGTTGTTCAGCTATATTAGATTGGTATGGTAGGGCTTGTCTAGGTGTATATTGAGCTTCATGTATATATGCTGGAATATCAAAATCTAAATTGCTTGGAATTGTGCCTGTTCTATGCATATTTGAGAACTGTATCTTACTCATTAAGACATATGCTGTTAAATTCATTTTTCCTGCAAAGCGAGAGAACATCATTCTGGGTACAGTACTGGTGTCTGTGGGTTGCCCTGTGTGATTAAAGAAGGCAACGTGGAAAGTCTTATTCAGAAAAATGGGTAATGAAAAATTGAAACTGGCCACACTTTCAGTAATACTACCATCTTCTGTTCTGTTATAAAATTTATAGGCTGTTTTGATGCCAAAGTCTATTTCAGCTAATGGAGAATATAGGTTTGGATAAGCTGATGACAGAGATATTGTGAGTTTCTTTTACATTTGCATCAGAATCAGTGGTAGAATTCAATTTTATCTGGTGGAGTGTGGTATCATTGAAAAGATCTTGGTATGAGAAATTTTGTGCACATGGGAATGACAATATGGCTACTCCTGTGGTATAATGATCCAATTTGGGATGAGCACTCCGTAGAGGCACATTATGTTTGGGTACCTCTTCTGGCCTTTGTAAATCCACAGTACTGTTTACCAATGTAAGAAATTCCAAGACACAATGGTAGTGGTCTTGTAATTCCAATTCCTGTTTAGTGTAATCTTTAATTCCTTCCTGCTGGTGTAGTCTGTCTCTGTAATTGGTCAGTATTTGAGCTGCAAAAGAAGGGTCTGTTGCTGGAAATGGTTGTGGCAGTAATTCAGTTAAAATAATTGGGAATCTCCAATGATGTACACCCAATGGGAGTATGTCCATCCATGCTGGAATATGTGGGAAGGACAGGTTAGTCACCTTGGGTGAGCTAACATAGGAACTGCCATGGTAATAGTGTAAGGCTCCATAATATGGTAAATTTGGAAAGTTAGCCACACACACTACTATCCTGGTGTCATTTTCTTGCATGAATCATGGGATACTCTTATTCATACCTGCTTCTGGGCATATATCCCCATATGGCTTATTGGGATAGCCTAGATACAAAGTGTTCCTGCCTTCTGGGAGAGCAAAATTTGGTATAGGTTTACTAAATATATCCTGTGGTAATGCTGTGGGAGTACTTAAAGTATCACTTCCTTCCTCCTCATCATCATCCTTATTCTTACTGTCCTCACCCTGCTCATTCTCAGTTCCAAATTCTTGTTTGATCAATGGGGAAAAGAAGATTTGAGGGAATGATGTCTGTATAGCATCATCACAAGTGTAGACAGGTTCCTCCTCTAGGGTAATCTAGGTGTAAGAACTGGGTCCCTTGGTGTTATTGAATATACGATAAATTGGAGATTTCCACATCATTGTGTTAAGTTTAATGTTTGCTACATATGTAGCATAAATGGCTGATTCAGTAGTGACATTCCTCCATAAAACATTTTCAATACATGCTGCAGGGATTGATTTAACATGACTGGCTGACAGAAATAGCTTTCTGCCAATAAGGTGGAAATGGAACAAATCCCTGGTTTCAAAGTAGTCATTGCAGTAAGATGGTGCCACCCACTTTCCTCTAGCATAGCAATGTGTATACAGAGCCCAACAGGAAGGCCTGTATTTTAAAAATGGCTGTATATCTAAGTATTTCCATGGGACCAAGAAAATTGAGGAGTTAAGTGTAGGGTTAGGTTTGTGTGTAGGTAGAGTTTTGTTATGAAAGTACTTAGTGGGTTTAATGGTGGTTGTAGAACTAGAACTAGCATCACTGGAGCCAATGGTCCAGGATACACAAAGTGTGATTAGTAAATTTCTTGCACATGAGGTTAGTACTATTGGTAGTACTGCTGTTGGCATCACCCTGGCTTCTCCTTTCATGGCAGAGGGTATAATGGCCAACTACTGTGATTCCTACCCAAACTAGAATAACTATAGTAGTGAGCAAAATAATGCAGCAGTAAGCAGTATGTGTGTAATTCAGGGAGCGTGATGCTAAAGATCGCATTGTGGCGCCAGCTTGTCTATTTTAGTGATTTTTGAAGTCGCCCTTTTTCCCTATAGTCCACAGTGTTGGGAGCTCCTGAGCACACAATCTCCTGTGGAGAGAGATTATTATTGTGATCTTTCAAAAGTATCTTTGTGTGATAGGAGTACCTTGTTACCCTCAGTTACCACCCCCTGGATTAAAAAATGGTCTGGGGAAGGTACTTTCAAAGGGTGAGAGTCTGCCAAGCCTTAATCTAGAGTTGAGCTCGTAACAGGCTATCTCTAAAGCTCTACTCAGTGGCTGATCCTTCAAATACTGTAGTTTCAGTTTCAATAGTCCATTATGTCTTTCTATGTTACCTGCTGCCTGTGGGTTTTATGCTAGGTGGTAATTCCACATAACATCCATCTCCTGGGCCCATTTCTTGACTATTTGACTAGTAAAATGCGTGCCTTGATCTGACTTAATAATGGCCAGGGGGCCGTATCTGGCCCACCAACACCATAGGGTGTATATGGTGGCCACAGTGTCAGGTATCTTATGTACTTTTGCCAGCATTACACCAGAATGTACATCTACCATTGTGCATGCATAATCTCTCTTATGTGTTTGTAATGGTCCTATGAAATCTATCTGTATTATAGCATTAAAGCAATTAGGTTTATACAATTCTGGTGGGGCTCTATACCTAAATCTTTGGACTGTCATTGGACAATCTGGGCAGTTTTCCACTGCTTGTTTACATTTTGTCTAGGACAGGTCAATATTCCTTAATTGTCCCCAAGTACAATGCATGTATGTCACATTGGCCTAATGCCTTATGAAGGTCTCTTATTTCTTATATTGATGGGGTACATATTTTGAGTTTTTGTTGTTTTATTTGTTCATTTTGTTCAGTCTTATGATTCCCAGATGTATTAGTTTTAGTCCATTTAGGTTTATCTTGCATTACCCTACTCCTGGTCCTCTTTTAAGAGTCATTTTCAGTCCATTTTTATACAATCTTCCTTAGACCATATGTCCTTGCCATTTATCTGCCAGTTGGTATGTTTCCATTTTCCTGACCATACTGCAATACCATTGCACACGCACCACGAGTCTGAATATGTCCTAGCAATTTTATACCCTTCTCTGTGAGATTGTTCAATTGCTAATCTGGCTGCATGGACCTCTGCATGTTGCGCTGATCTACCTGTGCCTTGATCTGTGAGGATTTGCCCATCTGTGGGTCTCCAGGCTGCAGATTTCCAATGCAGCTTGCCACCCCACAGCATGGATGCTCCATCAGTGAACCAGGCATTTGTTTGTTAGTTGTCCCATCTCTCTGTCCCCCAGTGGCCAATATTCTTGGCCTGTGTAATTTTTGGCATGGTTATGGGGCATGGTACCTTCGGGGCTGAGGCAATCTCCTCCACCCAGAGTGGTGTCTTCCCCTTTGCCATTGCAACACCTTGGGTTCAGAAGGGGTTCTGGCTAGGGCTTCCCCTTTCATGTTGATCCAGTCCGGTATTGGCACTGGGCTACAGATTACTAGGCATTGATCCATCAGGACCAGGCACACCGCTTTCACCGCCTCCATAAGCGTCCACATGAGCCTCTCAAAAATTGTATATTTGGATTCCACATATGGGAATCTTTTACAATAAAATGATATGGGTACTGTGCGTGCACCTTGTTTACACATTACGCTCCAGTTTCCATATCCTGCTTGGTAGGAAATATCCAGAATCATGGTGTCAGTGTGGGCAAGGGTATATAACTGACTATGCATTGCTATCAACTCTTTTACTGCCTTAAAGGCATGTTCTTGTTGTGGGCCCCATTCAAAATCAGAGGCCTTCTTAATAACCTGATACAAGGGTTGTAATAGGATCTGTAAATATGGGATGTGATTTCTCCAATATCCAAACAATCCGATAGTTTGTTGCACTTCCATTTTATTAGTTGGTGCTTTTAAATTGGCAATTTTATCTACGACTGGGTTGGGGACCTTTGGTCCTGTCACTGTCCATATCACTCCTAAGAACTTAACAGAGTCTTGTGGGTTTTGTATTTTATTTGGGTTTATCGGCCATCCATCTTTCCTTAATACCTCCACTGTCCCCTTTAGTAATTTTGATACCTTTTCTTTGCTCTTTCCAGTTACAATTATATCATCTACATATGACAGTACTAAGCATTCATTCGGGATTTTTAATTTGTCTAGTGACCACTGTAGTGTCACATGCGCTATGATGGGGCTGTTCTTATATCCCCTGTGATAATCTTTTGAGTTGATATTGTTTGTTATTCCAGGTAAAGGTGGTCATCTCTCTAGATTTAGGGTGCAGTGGTAAGGCAAAGAACATATCAGATAAATCCACTGATGCAAACCATGCCTATGCTCCTTTTTGTATTCTATAAAATAAGTCTTGTACATCTGGTAAATTACCAGGCATTGCAGGTGAAAGCTCATTAATTTTTCTAAAGTCCACAGTGAATCTATAGGTGCCATTTGGTTTCTTAACTGGCCAGACTGGGCTGTTAAAATTAAAGGACTGTGTCCTTTCAATGACTCCTGTGTCTATCAGGGTATTTATGTATGCTGTCACTTCATCATGTCCTCCCTTCAATGGATATTGCTTAGTAAAGGAAGGTTGTATCTCCGGCAGTAGTATTTATTCTATTTTTACCTCTGCCAGATTTACTTGTAACATTTTGTTTTTCTTTAAAGGTAACCATGTACCAAATATTTGTGGAAAATAATATCCATTCCTAGTAAGTCTGTTGGTGTAGACATAAAAACTGCATTTATTTCTATAGGCTTTCTATCATACACTAATATTCTTATTGGGCATCTATAAGCAGTATTTACAACATTTACTACCTGTATCTATATAGGATCCTGTTGTTTGGGGCAAGACACTGATGTAATAATTGTGACTTCACTTCCTGTATCAATTAAATATGTTAGGAAGTGGATCTGTCCATTGATAAGCACTTGTAGTTGTATGTGGGGTCTGACATCTGTTGTCTCTGTCCCCATGAGTGTGTTTCTGGCCTTGGGCCTCCGCTCATGTTTGGGTCCCCAAAAGTTCTGATATTCCTCATCACTTGTCCCCATCTGTTCCATCCTAGCCTTCTTTGGCCCCTGTAGGGGCTTCCCCCGTTTTTTGGAAATGGGGGTCTATATGTACCTTGTGGTTGGGGTCTGGTTGGGAAATTCTGTCTCTGCCTGCAGCGACATTCCCTTCCAGGCCTACCACACGTTAAGTATGTTGGTTGGTACTTCAGTTACAAAGGTGGTAAGCTGTTTTGGCGGCCATTTAGCTTCTCTTTTCCTGTCTACCGGGAAGTACAGTACCTTGCATTTTTCTAAGTTTCTCACTTCCTTAATAAAGTCTGTGATGTCCTGTGAAGCTTCTGCCTGCCTAAGGCTGTTGTTAAGGTCATTTTTAAGTGTGCTAGGGCTCCATTTATAATTATCTTTTTCATGTCTCTCGAGACTGGTGCCCCCAATGGTGTCCTAGTTTTGGGGTGGCAAACTTTATATAAAATTCCTACCTTCCTTACCAGTTTTATGGCCTGATTTAAATTCCTCCACTAAACTGCCTCTACCAAGGACATATCCATGTCTGGTACTGTATTCCTCCACGCCTCTGTTATCCAGGCAAACAAGGTCCTGGTGGCCTCTGGGCATGCTTCCAGAGCCATCAGTAGTCCCTCGTGTATGTGGGGGTTTTCCTGTCATACCTGCCAGCTGTCTCATTTCAGTTGCCAATAGTTCTACTGGATCGGCTCCATTAGACCATATTCTTTCTAGGTAGGTTACATTTTTCTCTCCTCTCTGGGCAAATTCTGTTCTATATTGTTGCAACTCAGTTCTTGTCAGAGATCTCTTTTCTATTATGGTAGTCTCCTCTCCTGACACCTCACACCCTTTTACAGGGGTGTAAGTCATCTTTTGAGTTGTTGCTGGGCATGCCTCAGTGAAGGGGTTATTTTTGCCTAGGACCTTATTGACCAGTTGTTTTCCCCTTCTTTGGTCAATATTTGTGTCATCTATTATTTTGCACAATATGACTGGTATTTCTTCCTTTTGGGCCCTTCTCACTATGGGGTTAACTGTGTATGGGTCTGCAAGGAGAATAGTTATATCTGTTCACTTAGGATAATCTTTAAATTTTTCCTGTGTTAGTGTTTCTGTCTCCTTGCGAGGGGACCCTGGCTCTGTCTCCACCCTTGTCTTATTTTTACCCCATTTCTTTCTCAGCTTCTCTCATACTTTACTCCTGGCAGTCGCCATACCCAGGCTTCAGGTTCCCACTAGGTGGCTAGGGTAAATATTCTCTTCATGAGCACCTTCCTTAAGTACCAACAAATGGATCTGGCCATGCTTAGTTCCTGAATTTGTTTGTCTAATAACAAGTCTCCAATTCTATACAATCTTTTAGCTATCCACCGTCTCATAGCCACTTGGCGTTTTTCATCAGGGGTGAGTTCTAAAATCCCTCCAAGAGAATCTCAGCGTTGGGGGCTTCCTTTGCTCCAGAGTGAGGGGTGGCCTTCACCCAAGTTACCCACTCTTCCCCAACAAAGACTCTGTCTGGGTGGTAGCCCTAGGTATGCAGGAGAAAGACCCACACCTGGGTTGCCAGCTCTTCCCCAACCAAGGCTGGGTTGGCGTCATACAGGTGGTTGGTCAAAGTTTCTGCTCACTGCGCCCTTCCTTGTTCCTTTGCTCAAGTGCCTCCAACACCTCAGTCAGTTCCTGGACCAAGATTTGTGTCCAGATCGCCCTTTCTCATGCTAGGCTTATAAAAAGCCAAAAGCCACAATCATAATCCCCTTCACAAAATCCTGCCAACTACACCGATTGTTGCAAGCGCCTATGGTTCATTAGAGTACAGAGACAGTACTCAGGAGACTCTTATTTCAGAGAACAGGTTTTTTTATTCAAACACCTTCACACAGCACTTTCCTATGGATCCTAAGGCCCGTCTCTGTTACCCTAGCCGACCAGTTTACTCAGACCTTCCCCCCAAGTCTTGCTCAGCTTGCGATGCTTTCTCAGCTGATGAGGGGGGCGTAGCTGTGCCCTGGGGGATCCTCATAGCCGCTTTCAGTGCAGGTCCAGTTCACCGGCGACACCCAGTGGTCGTGGGGAGAAAGGGGCATGCTCACAAGCAGTGGCTGCCTCTACATCCGAGTCTCGGGACAGACTTTTGACAGCGCGGTCTCCGGCGGCCGGGGAGGCCAGTGAGGTTTTTGGGTTCTGGCCTGAGTTTATATACCTGGTGGTGACCTCACCACCCCTGTTACCAGCACTGCCACCTTAGGTTTAGCTTGTTTGCCTATCGACCATCACCTTAAGTTTGGCTTATTGGCATATTGGTCACCACCTTAGGTTTGGCTTATTAGCATATCAGCCTGTCATTCTCTGGCTGATTTCTAAGTCCTAGCACACACTAGCTAATAATTCTTATTTCAACAGTTTTTCATATTTTAACACAATACAGTCCATGAATACAGCAGCAATCTTATATGTGTTCACCACAAGGAGCAAAATTTTATTATTTATTTATTTAATAGAATGAGACTTGCTATATAGCCAGGTTGGCCTTGAACTCAGAATACTCCTATCTCATCTTTGTCAGTGTTGGTATTATAGCCATTTACCACTGGCCTGTTTTTGCTCATAATATATTCCCTAGGTATAAGAATAGTTTTAGGTATGTGAGGTAAATTTGGTTATAATATTTTAATACTATTTAGTACTTAATAAATTATTACAATGGCAGTACATTCCTGTGACTTTCTTTACCATACAGAATGCAAAACAAGAGACATTTTTTGCAAAATGCAGATAAACATTCCCCCTTCTCCCATCTCCACATACAGAAGCAGAACTTCCATTTTCCAATGGCTAGTGAGTTGAGAAGACATATGGCATTCCAAGTGCTGGTGTCTTTTGAGGACGTGGCTGTGGACTTTACCTGGGAGGAGTGGCAGAATCTGGATGATGCTCAGAGGACCCTATACAGGGAAGTGATGCTGGAGACCTACAGCACCCTGGTGTCTTTGGGTGAGTGAAATTGCCCTGTAGCCCTCAGGAGCAAGTGCTGACTTCTTAGTACATATATGAAGGATATTTAGGTGCACAGTTCCAGCCCATGAAGAACTGAATTGTTCACTTCTCTCTGATGAAAAGTCACATGTGCTGCCTCATTGCACAGTTCCACACCTGGAGTTTGTGTTGCTTCCAAGAACCTGACTTAAAATGGAGGAGTTGAACCAATTCAGGGAATATTCATATATACATATGGAAATATCACAATGAAACTCCCTGTATAACCATCATAAGCAAACAATTTCTGTTTTCAAAAATGAAGGAAAGAAAATAAAAGAAGTCCATGGTTTGATATTGCATTAGGAAAGGGTGAAGGAGGGTGAATATGAGAGAAGTGTTACGTATTCTGTATGAAAATGGGACAATGAGACCTATTGAAACTGTTCTAAGAATGGGGGAAGGGAAGATTTATTATAACAACTTTGTAAACATCACAGTTGTCCCCAGTACAACTATAATATGCTGACTCATCAATAAAAGAAACAAAAATAAATAAAATTTTAAATGGAGATCCTCAGTGCGACTAGTCCTATTTCAAGTGTTTGATATCCACTGTGGCTATCAGCTCCCTTACTGGCAGCACAGGAACAGAGCATATTCTTCATTGCAGAAAGGAATAATGAGGGAAAATATACTGACTTAATCATTTGACACAATCCTACATCATTTTCCATGAACAGGGCAATGCATGACCAAACCTGAGCTGATCATCAAGCTAGAGCAAGGAACAGAACTTTGGATGGGAAAAGAATCCCCAAATCAGAACCCACCAGGTGAGTCAGTGCATAGTGGATGGGGAGGCTATTTAGGGATGTTGGCTGTGTTGCAGTGACTTCACCGGGCTATCTTCCAGGTTGCACACCTGAGGACAGTGCATTATAATCTCAAAGGAGGGCTGTCTGGCATATATTTTTTTCAAAATTCTACACATAATAGGTGAATATGAAGATCTGTATTTGATTGTCTACATCACCCTTGGAAGCACAAATTTGGAAGTTGGTAGCTTGAAGCTGGTATTTAAATTTACAGAGCAGTTCCCCTAGGGAGTTGAAAAGAAAATGAGAAAAGTCCAAAGTTAGCCTTGTTAACCATGGGGTCAGACATCATGAAAATGGAGAATCCAACATATGGGTCTGCATTTGTGGAAGAACCAGGATATTCTTGGTGCCAATCCCAAGTGAGTACATGTTGAAGCTCACAGATCTTTGTTTGGGATTGGAGTTTTGGAGTTTGAAGTTAGCACTTCTGCATTCTCTTAGTGGATATCATTATAAACAAGAAAGAAAAGGAGAGATGTTCAAAAGACTCCATTTTCTATGAAAGGGGAAAGCTGACAGTCCAGTGCACAAGATAATATCATTCAGGAGAAGTCGATTATGAAGCATGGGTGCTTGTACCAGGAATTGTGGGAAGGTGCTGGGGCTTTTGATCTTAGAAGGAGCCAGAAAATCATTGTATAAACATAGTGGGATTCACAAATGGGTGTCCAGTGTGGTGGGATGAAGAAAAAACTTAACATTTCTGAGAAACAGAGTCATGAGGTTACGTTAGGGCTTTGTAGGAAGTTGTGGGAAAGATATTTTTTATTGGAAAAACTTCCTAGATACATACAGTTTTTCACCAGGTAAGAATGAAAGCTAAACAAATATAGATGCAAATGCTGTACCAAATCCATGTTCCTGCTCAGGTGGCAGTCAGTTGTATTCCACTTGTATTAAGCAACTTTCTGGTCCTGAAAATACCAGCACCCTTCAAAGTAGAATAATGAGAAGAACAGCAGTGGGAGACCCCAGCATTGTCACCACAATAGAGGAAAAGAACGGAAGAATGAAATGGCAGGGGAGAAGCACTCCATGGAAAACTAAGACTAGGCTGTAGGTGAATATTTTAACCAAATACTACCATGTGCAAATAAAATGAAAGAAGCAAGGAAAAATATTTCAACAATATAAAATCTGTCACTGTCATTTATTACTTGAAGTCAGTAGGAAGAAAACTATTTACAAGCCAATACCTGTTGTGGTTTTTACGTAATCTTATGCCAGTAGGAGGGGAAAAAGCTCCTTTATATGCACATGCACATTTCATAGAAATGCTTAGATATGTATCATGTATATGGTTCTTTTCTTTTTTCTCACTTTAGATGTCCAGAAAGTGGATGTCATAATTCAGAGCTGTGAGGAAAGTCAAGACACCCATTTGTGGCAAGCTGGAGTCACTATCAAGAAGAGAGTTATATTAAGACATACCTTTCATTTGAGTTCCAACCATATTTCCAATTTGATTGTAAAGAATGCAGTCTCTTTGGGAGTGAAGCCTGAGGAGTTGAATGTGTGTCAGAACAGTCTTCGCCCTAGTATGCCTAATGGGATGTATGTGGTTGACAAACCCTATCAGTGTAATCAATATGGAAAATCCTTTGTCCAGAAGTCACACCTTACCAAGCATGAGAGAATTCAAAGTAGAGAGAAGCTCTATCAGTGTAATCAATGTGGAAAAACCTTTCGCCGGAAGTCAAATCTCACCAGGCATGAGATAATTCACACTGGGGACAAGCCCTATAAGTGCAGTCAGTGTGGAAAAACCTTTGCCTGGAAGTCATACCTCACCACACATCAGATGATTCACACTGAGGAGAAACCCTATAAGTGTAGTCAGTGTCATAAAACCTTTGCCTCAAAGTCACAACTCACTAGGCATAAGATGGTTCACACGGGAGAAAAGCCCTATCATTGTAGTCAGTGTGGAAAATCTTTTCACCTGAAGTCAACTCTTGATAGACATGAGATAATTCACACTGGGGAAAGGCCCTATCAATGTAATGAGTGTGGAAAAACCTTTAGCTGGAAATCAAATCTCGCCAAGCATGAGATAATTCACACTGGGGAGAAGCCCTATCAGTGTAATCAGTGTGGAAAAACCTTTTGCCGGAAGTCAAGACTCAGCAGTCATGAGATAATTCACACTGGGGAGAAGCCCTATCAGTGCAGTCAGTGTGGCAAAACATTTGCCTGGAAGTCATACCTCACCTTGCATCAGATGATTCACACTGAGGAGAAGCCCTATAAGTGTAGTCAGTGTCATAAAACCTTTGTCTCAAAGTCACAACTCACTAGGCATAACATGATTCACACTGGGGAGAAGCCCTATCAGTGTAGTCAATGTGGAAAATTCTTTCAGCTAAAGTCAACTCTGGATAGACATGAGATAATTCACACTGGGGAAAGGCCCTATCAATGTAATCAGTGTGGAAAAACCTTTAGCCTGAAATCAAATCTCACCAAGCATGAGATCATTCACAGTGGGGAGAAGCCATATCAGTGTAGTCAGTGTGGAAAGTCCTTTCACCTGAAGTCAACCCTTGATAGACATGAGATAATTCACACTAGGGAAAGGCCCTATCAATGTAACCAGTGTAGGAAAACCTTTAGCCTAAAATCAAACCTCACAAAGCATGAGATAATTCACACTGGTGAAAAGCCCTATCAGTGTAATCAGTGTGGAAAAACCTTTCGGAGGAAGTCAAGACTCAGCAGTCATGAGAGAATTCACACTGGGGAGAAACCCTATCAGTGCAGTCAGTGTAGCAAAACCTTTGCCTGGAAGTCATACCTCACTGTGCATGAGACAATTCACACTGGTGAGAAGCTCCATACGTGTAGTCAGTGTCATAAATCCTTTGTCTCAATATCACTACTCACTAGGCATAAAATGATTCACACTGGGGAGAAGCCGTATCAGTGTAGTCAGTGTGGAAAATCCTTTCAACTGAAGTCAACTCTTGATAGACATGAGATAATTCACACTGGTGAGAAGCCCCATGAATGTAATCAGTGTGGAAAAACCTTTAGTCTGAAATCAAACCTCACCAAGCATGAGATCATTCACACTGGGGAGAAGCCCTATCAGTGTAGTCAGTGTGGAAAATCCTTTCACCTGAAGTCAACCCTTGATAGACATGAGATAATTCACACTGGGGAAAAGGCCTATCAATGTAATCAGTGTAGGAAAACCTTTAGCCTGAAATCAAACCTCACCAAGCATGAGATAATTCACACTGGCGAGAAGCCCTATCAGTGTAATCAGTGTGGAAAAACCTTTGGCCAGAAATTACATCTGAGCAGGCATCAGACCACTCACAAGAGAGGAGACTTAAAGGTAGAAGATCTTTCTCAGAAATCAAACCTCAGGAAACATTAGAGAATTCACATGAAGGGAATATCCTGTATGGCTGAGACTAGTTATGTGTCCTCCAAGAGCCATTTACATTTCTCTGTGTTATGGCAAACTTTTCTCTGTCTCTTCCTGTGGCCAAGAGTTCACAGCTCTCTGTGGAGATAAAGGCACAAGTGATGAACATTCCTTCTAGGCCTGAAATGTAACAGTGACCTTGCAGTCCTCCGAGACTTGGGATTTGAGCCCTATGTATCTTCAATCACTGTGCTTTCAGACAGAAATGAAGAGAACCGAGGACTTTCCACCCCTGGCCCAGCACCCTCCATTTGTTACATGTGAGAAATGAAACCTACTCTGTTGAGCTGTTTTATGTTTGGTCTGTGCATTTCAGCACCCATAACCACTGTTGCTTGCTCACTTTACGAATTTGGGAGGTATTCCTGAGATACTTGTCCAGTTTATGTTTTTCTTAAAATTCATACAGAAGAAAAAAAAAACACTGTGTTGTCATCTTTCATCTCCAAGTCAGGTTTTGAGAGAATGAAAGAAATGTGGGGGCCAGGGAGCAGTAGCTCATGCCTATAATCCTAGCTAGTTGGTAGGTAGAGGGTGGAAAATTATGATTTGAGGCCATCCTGGGCAGAGAGTTAGGAAGACTCGATCTCAGCTAATAACCCAAGGGTCATCACAGGTATATCCAGCTGTAACCCTAGTTCTGTGATTGGCATAGGTAGAAGGATTGTGTTCCAGGGCTCCCTGGACAAAAGCTGAGACTCTATGTGAAACATAACTTTAAAAAAATAGGCTTGGGATATGGCTTAAGAGTTTTCAATCTACCAAACTTGAGGTCCTGGGTTTGCACACAATTCTGTCCATAATACCCCCTGATTTGAAATTCATCTCCATTCTGTTTTTACGGGATTATTTGGGGTGTCTGTTACTTTCTTCTACCCAACATCATTTCCCCAGAGTTCTTAGTATCAAGCCACCAGTGTGACCATAATATACTGCTACATATGCAGTCTTCATAGGAGATCTTACATCCAGGGTGGGAGTAAGTGTCCATCGGCTATGAAATCTTGTAGTCACTGAATTTGTGTGTGAACCTGGAGCATCCCACACCATGAGGAGTCTGTGTTTATAGGGTACAGAAAAACCATAAGCAGGGAGTCATGAAGACTAAAAGGTCCAGGTTTTGTGAACATCCTTGAGGCCCAGCCCATGTTATTGATAGAAGACCACTGCATTGTTTTATCCAGTGTGTGGTTTTTTCCCTCTGGCTCCCAGTTTATAGAGCTGTGTCATTTCTGTTTGTAATTGAATCCTGCCTTGACTGAATTTGCCCTGTTTCTGACCTCTTCTTTTTTAACATCTTAAAATTACACTGGGTTTAACTTCCTTTAGTGTGTTTTAGAATGATTTTTTTATGATCAATGATATTGATCCATTATTTCCCTTATGATCTGTGTTTAATTTCTTCACACATCCACAAGCCTGTTCTGAATTCTGAGTCGATGTGCATTGAAACTATATCTCAGTGTGTACCCACCTGGTGTAGATCATTTCATCCAGTTAGGATGGCCTTTCCTGGGAGATCAGACTACAAGTACAGTAGTGGTGGTTCTGGTTGCAACTGATCAGGCCCCTATTCCTATCCTAGGACAGATGTCAAAATCATGGTTTTGTCCCCTCCATCACTGCACACGGAAGACTTCCCACACTTTACAGTCTGTTATATGTCCCAAATGCTGACTATAAGGTACAGACTTTAAATAGCAATATGAGTACACATATAAGGGAAAGAATTGCTTAGGTGTATTTTAAGGAAAAGCAAACAAAAAATAAGTTACATTACCTACCCTTATTCCAGACATACTTAGCTTTAAATCAAAAAATATTCTTAGAGCTAGTCCCAAATCTATAAAGGATTGGTAAAAGATTCCACATGTCAGGCTGCTACAACCATGCTAAGTGTGTGTGCACACCTTACCTCATAGATTTAGCATGTATAACATGAAACTATAGGAGAAGGCAATTCCACACAACAGTGGAAAATAGTTAACGCGTGCTACACACTGATATACTTCTACATCATATTGCATTTCAGTCGAAAAATAAATCTCATGATCTTATAGCAACTATAGCATTGGCTTAGAGGAGCACAAGGGAGGAGGAAGTAGAAAGATCCAGTCTGGACAGCTCTGGCAGAGGATTTGGCTTTTTGTGTTTTTTGTGTGTTTGCCCTTTTTTGTGATGGGTGTTTTCAAGATAGGGTTGCATGATTTTTCTGCATAGGCTGGCTTTGAACCAGAATCCTCCTGATCTCTGCCTCCTGAGTAGCTAGGATTACAGGTGTGAGCACTGATGCCCAGCCCCTGGCAGAGTATTTTGAAATTAAATAAACTGCTGGGGAATATATTTAAAGGTTCAACCACGAGAATTTCCAGAATGTTCAACCAGGGAGCAGTTTTTCAACACCCCAAAGGGAAGCACCATTGATTATTTCATCCAAGAAACTATTTTCATTATATACTAACTCCCCACTTCCCTATCCATCAGCTTCTATGAATTGCTAATTTATATCTATGAATTTTGTAACTTAGAAGTAGAATCATAATCCACAAGGTTTGTCCACATTCTCACTCCCATCAGTGTCCATCCCTGCTTATGACTGAATAGTACTCAATTGTATGGTGCTGGCATGCAGTGCTGTATAGTACTCACAATCTTTTTTATTTCTGTATTGTTGGTAGCAATTTTCCCACTTCAGTTTCAAATTTTATTACTTCTCGACTTTTCTTTGCTAGTCTAGCTAAATGTTTGTCAAGTTTGTTAGTTTTTGTCAAAGAACCAATATTTGCTTTTACTGATTTTTCTGTTGCTTCTCTATTCTCTACTTGATTTATCTCTGCCATAATCTTTATTATTTCCTTCCTTCTGCTAGATTTGGGTCTAGATTTCATTTTTGGTGAGAGGAGATCATTTTTTTAAAACACAGGTGTAGAGTCATACAAATTTGCCTCTGAGCAGTGTTTTTGGTTTCACTATGTGAGTAAATTTTGGTATATTGTGTTTTTGTTTTCATTGTCCCTAGATCTTTTTTCCTTTGTGACATTTTTTGACGCTGGTTGTGTAAGAGTGTGTTATTGATTTGCATATGTTATCAGACTTAAACTTCCAATTTTCTTTCTGCTGTTGATTTCTGGTTTTATTCCACTATATTGAAAAAAGTCCCTGTATGATTTCAGTCTTTTTACATGTATTAAGACTTGTTGCCTAACACATGATCTGTCCTGAGGAGTGTTCTATGGGCACTTGAAAAGAATGTGTTGATTTCAGTGTTCTGTACAGTCTGCTAGGCCTGATTGGTTTATAGTATTGGTCAAGTTCTCTGTTTCCCCATGGATCTTGGATATGATGTGTTAAAGTCTTTATTGCATATAGTCTTGGTTCATATATTTCAGGGGTACTCATGTATTGGGAGATATTATGATAAAAATTGTATCTTGGTGAATTGAGACTTTTATCAATATATACTGACATTTCTTCCTACCTTTTTGATGTAAAATTGAGCATGCATGATAATATACTCATATTGAAATATACTGTTTTAAAGGAACAAGTTTTTCCATCTTTCAGTCTTTGTGTATCTTTGTACCCAAAGTGAGTCTCTCTGAATGCAGCCTATATAGATCATGGTTTTCAAATCCATTCTACCAGTCTCTGTTTTTAACTGGACAGTTTAACCCATTTGTATTTACATGATTCCTGTGAAGAAAGGTCTAACTCTTGCCACTTAGCTATTTGTACTCTGTATGTCATTTTTTTCTTTTTCTTGTACTCGGGATTGAACTCAGGGCTTTGTACTTATAGAACAGGCACTCTACCACTTGAGACACACCTCCAATCCATTTTGCTCTGGTTATTTTGAAAATGGGGTATCGTGAATTATTTGCCTGAGCTGGCCTTGAACTTGAACCTCCCTATCTCAGCCTCCCAAGTAGCTAAGATGACAAATGTGAGCCACCAGCTTTCAGCTTCTGGATGTCTTATGTGCTTGTTTCTTTCCATTGCTGCATTACATTTTTTATGGATTTACTTGATTTTTCAAGCTGGGAATTTTACCCTAGGATCCCATGCAAGCTAGGCAAGGAATCTACCACTGAGCTACACCACAGCCCTTTCAGTTGAGTTTTTGTACTGTACCATTTTGATTCCACTTTCTTTCCTCTTCTGTTTTCCTTATAGTTATTTTTTTCATTATTTATCTTTGGGATTACAATGAATATCCTAAATGCATTGCAACCTAGTTAGAATAGTATTAATTTTAGTTTCAGTGGTATTGAAATACTCTGCTCTTATACTGTTCCGTTCCTTCCCTTATATGTTCTACATTGCAGATTGCTTCCATATATATTGTGTTCCACTTAACATGAATTTGTCACTCATTTGATAAATTGAACTTTAAAATCAAATGTAAAGAGAAGAGTGATAAGTTCAAAGTGCAGTAGTACTGGCCTTTCTAATACCTATTAGTTGCCTCTACCAGTGTTCTTCATTTGGCTTTGGGTAATGGTCTATGCATTTTCATTTCAGCCTATAGGCTCTCTGTAGCATTTCTTGTAAGGCCTAGCTACTGCTACCAAAGTCCTCTCCTTTTCTTTATCTGTGAATTCCTCAATTTCTCCTTCATCCTTTAAAGATGTTTGCTTTTTTCTTTCAGCACATCTTAAATGTGTTGTGCCACTGCTTTCTGGACTGCCATGTTTTCTGGAGAGAAACACTATTCATTTTATTGAAAATGGTTTAAAGGGTATTGAGGAAGAAGCTTGGTTATAAAAGCAAGCTCTCTGCTTCTCGGATGCTATGAGGTGAGAAGATTGTTCCACCCACGCTCCCTGCCATAATTTTCTTCCTCACCACAGGCTCAAAATAAATAGACCCAGCTGACCATGGACTTAAACCTCTGAAATGGTGACTGCAAGTCATCTTCCCTCCTTACAAGTTGATGATGTTGGGTATATTATCACAATATTGGAGAGCTAAGTGTTGCAAAGAGTTGGCACAGGATGATGGGGTCATTGGTGTCACTGTACCAGATAATGTGGTTCACAACC